TTCAAATTTTTCTTCCGCATTTGTTTCCTTGTTATTAATAAATTTAAAATTATTTTTAAAAATAGATAATATTATTCTAACGTTGGCTTGCCTAGCAAGTGAAATGTTATGCGCCATCACGGTCCGAAGTTGGAAATTTCGGGTCGTGACAAAATAATATCATCAAATTCAGAAGGAAATCTTATCTTAATTTTAAATAATATATCGTCGGTAGCCGATCTCGTCCCAAGTCGCAACTTTGTTTTCTCAATCCTTCTCATCTACGACGGTATCAAAGGCAGAGAAGAAGAAATCGACGGACAAGGCACATTAGCAGAGGATTCCAAAGGCCAGCAAGAACTCAACGATGGGAGCAGAGTGAAGGAAACCTAGACTAATTATATCACCGGAGTCCGGAGCCGCCGTTGTAGGTCTAATTTCTTTTGTTTCACGTATTTAAAAGTTACGCATTAGGTTATAGTTTCCTTCTTTAATTGTAATTATCGGTAATTGCTTATTAATATTGCATCATTTAAATCAAAATGTCATAATTTTCTCACAATTGTTATCAAATGTCATTATGTTAGCAACATTTTTTAATAAATGTTACAAAAGTAATTAATTTCTGACATTTATTATAAATGTTACCAAATAAATGTGGCCGTAGTGAGGAGAGACAAAGGAGAGAAGAATTAATTGAAGAGATGATGAGAAGTAGTGTTGGATCAATATTCTGATCACATATTTTTCTTTAGGTTATTATCTTTAGGATTTATGTCTTAGGTTATTTGATAAAAATAAATAATTGCTCTAGCTAGGGTAGTTGTTTTAATTTCAAAGGTTCGAAGTAGCCGGTAGAAATGTTATTCGGCTTATCATGAAATGAAATTCGTTTTTTTATATGTATTGTTGCTTTTGCTTGTATGATTTGTGGTTATTTTATGTTGATTGTTCTCCAATTCTATTATTAACATGTCTTTCTATGTACCTTCTGTTATGCATTCAGAAATTAATGTAAATAGGCTATTACAGATATTCTTTATGTAACTAATTGTTTGTTGGAGGCCCAACTCTTATTGCACCCTTCCTAGAAGGTGACTATGCAGAAACTGGAAACTTTTTGCTAGTATGTAAATTGTGTGCGCGCGCGTGTATTATATACATATATAATATGCATATTCTATATTTTTTTTTGGCTAACGAATGCAATTAGTTTCGTCTGACCGGTCAATTTTATATTTTTTCCTTAAAATAGGAATGACAAAATCCAGTCCGACCCAATACCCATATACATAAATTAAAATAATACTAACAGCTTGTTTGGATGGTTGTTACGTATCGTTTCATAATGTATTGTATCATACTGTATTGTATTGTACATTATCGTTTGATAAATACAATATTTGGATAGATTGTGTCGTTTGTCATTATTTCATGATATCACGTACCAACAATATGAAGAATAAACTTACAATATTATAAAGAACAATTATGATACAAGGTAAAATTATTATATAAAAAGTTAGGGTAAATGATAAAATAAAATTATTTAATAATAATGAAGGGTGAGATTTAGAGAAAAAGACAAGGTAACGACGCGACCACACTAAATCGGTCGTTACATAAAGTGGCACATTTCGTCATTATGTAACGACGGATTTAACGATACGATACAATAAAATTTAAGTAACAATCAAAACAAACATCGTATTTAAAGTAACAATACGATACAATACAATGGGTAACAACCATCCAAACAAGCTATAAAATTTAATCATTCCCCCACAAAAAACTTAGTTTGGAATGTATGAGTTTCTAATAAATAAATAAAAAGAATAAAAGGTATAATTAGAGACCACTTGAAACAAAAATGATATTAATTTGAATGAAAATCTTGAAAAGAAAAATAAAAGATAGAAGTATTGTATTTTGAAGGATTCACTTCTAGTGTTATTTTAATTTATATATATGGGCATTGGGTTGGGTTATGTCATTCTTATTTTAATTGTATTTTATTTATTAGACTGAAAATAAAAAATAAAAAATGGTGGAATAAGAAAATACCACTGAAAAAGTTATATTTTTCTGTCACTGTGATTTTTGTATGAGTTAGTAAAAATTTTATGATTATTGTGTGAGAAAATATAGTTATATGACTTCGGTGAAAAAAATTATCCTTATATGAACTTTTACCTATCTATACTATATTATAAACTTATTCACCCCTCATAGAGGTGTTATTACTTAATTACATTAGCATATACGATTTACCATTTATGTACGAAATAATATATTAGACTCCAATCTTACCCATTTTAGGCTTCATTCTTCTCTTTTTTCTTCTCTCTATGGATATTTCTCTCTTAGTTCCTCTTCGATTTGGCTTTTGTAGATGAACATGCTCGGAAATTTGAAGAATGGTGAGGAAAAGTGATTCAACTGGTTAAAAGCCATAGAATACATACACGAAGCACCAATACAAATGGGTTACCAGAACCTTTTTTAGATGAATAAACAAGGCATTGTCAATAGGAGTGACGTTTGAAACTAAACTGGAACTAATTGACCGTATAATTAAAACTAAACTGAAGTTGTTCAGATATACATGAGCTCAAACTCCATTGATAGCCATTAAAAAGCTTAGAAGCTTTGAATTCGAAAATCAAAATTTGCAAAATTGTTATTTGTTTGGATTGGGTATTGTTGCAAATGATTGAAAATATTCTTTAGGATTTATATCTCAATTTTGAGAGAACTTGGTGAAGATTCGAGGTGGTTTTGATTGGAATTTCAGATTGAAACTCGAACAAAAAGACATAAACAAATTATATATATTTTGTATGTCGAGTGTAGAAACGATATATAAAATATCTACAACTTACATAATTGTAAATAAATTGTATGTAAATTGTAGTTTTGACTGAATTTTATATAAAAATTTGTATTTAAATTATAGATAAATTATAGATTTTGACCGAATTTATATTTATTTTATAAAAAACTTTAGTTTACCTTCTGTAAATATGAAAGCTTAGATAAAACCAAGTAAATAAGTACAAACAAAGAATTCACACATTTTTTAACTTAATCAATTCTACAAATTGATCGAGCTGAAAGCTGACGTGAAAATTCCCTAGATAATAGGTAGCCAGCTAGTTACGAGAAAAATGGCAATACTAGCTAGTGATAAAAGCTTATCGAAGTCAGAATCCAAACAACAGGTGGGCAAAGAACCAAAGAACCAAGCAATTAGAGCAAGGGCGGCTTAATTTGTGGTCTAAGGTCAATGTTGATTAGAGGCCCTAAACTTTATTTTTATTTTTTTAAATCACACACACATACACACACACATATATATATATA